ACATCCATTTGGCCCATAACTTAGGTTTCTCTGACACGAAGCACCTCAGATAGGTCTCCAAGCTCCTATTAACCACTTATATTTGGTCATCTGTTTGTGGGTGGTAGGTAGTACTCCTCTTTAGAATTGTTCCCTGTAACCTAAACAACTCCCTCCATAAATGGTTGAGGAATATCTTGTATGTATCTGATACTATTGTCTCTGGTACTCCATGTAATCTGACTATCTCCCTGATGAAAGTTATTGCCACTGTTGTTGCGGTGTAAGGGTGTCGTAAAGGAATGAAGTGTGAGTACTTGCTGAGTCTGTCTACCACTACCATAATGACTATGAATCATTATGATCTTGGTAGACCATCTATAAAATCCATGGACACTTCCTCCCATATCCTGTTTGGAAGTGTCAAGGGTTGTAGTAGTCCTCATGGACCCATTGCCATATATTTATTTCTCTGGCACACTTCACACTTCGTCATCATCTCTTCAACATCTTTGTACATCCCCTTCCAGTAAAGCTCAGATGCCAACCTTCTATAGGTCTTCTGGACCCCTGAATGTCCTCCAACTGCACTGTCGTGGAACTCCTGCAATAAGTGGGGAATGTATATGGAGTTTGGTGGCATCACAAACCTCCCTTTATGCAAGAGTCTTCCTCCTTCAAGAGAGTACCCTGTGTGGCTATTCTCACCTTTCATCAAATCTTCTCTGATCTTCTTCAACTCCTCATTCTGCATACTCTCTTCCTTGATAGCCCCCAGTCTATCATCAGTGGTACTGAAACAGTCAACTCCTGAAGCTCTCCAAAACATATGGATAAGGCATCTGCCGCTTTATTTTTCAAGCACGGCCTGTACTGGATTTCAAAATCATAGCCTAGTAACTTGGACAACCACCTTTGATGCTCCTCAGTAACCATTCTTTGCTCCAACAGGTACTTCAAACTCCTCTGATCCGTCCGGACTATGAAATGCCTCCTCAATAGGTAAGGGCAACACTTCTAAACAGCCAAAATAATGGCCATCAACTCCCTCTCATATACCGACTTCAGTCTAGCTTTGGTTGATAGCACTTGACTGAAATATGCTATAGGTCGGTGATTTTGCATCAGCACTGCCTTCAACCCATATCCTGACTCATCCGTCTCTACTATAAAGACCTGGCCGAAGTTCGGAAGACCTAAAACTAGAACTGTAGTCATGTCTTTCTTTAATTTCTCAAATGCCTGAGTTACTGCCTCTCCCCATACAAAATTATCCTTCTTCAGTTGCTTGGTAAAGGGCCAAGCTATGGTACTATACCTCCTCGTAAATCTCCTATAGTACCCTGTTAGTCATAAGAACCCTCTCAACTCTCTTAGGTTCCTAGGCATAGGCCATCTCTGCATTGCCTCAATTTTTGTTTGGTCGGCCCCCGCTCCCTCCTTAGACGCTACATGTTCCAAGTACTCCACACTGGACTGGGCGAAACTGCACCTCTTTAGGTTGGCTCTTCGTTGATTTTCTTGTAAAACTTCCAGAATCATCCTCAAGTGCTCCAGACGCTCCTCCTCAGTTTTGTTGTACACTAGGATGTCATCAAAGAACACCATAACAAACTTCCTGAGGTATTGCTTGAACATTCTGTTCATCAAGGACTGGAAAGTAACGAGGGTGTTAGTAAGCCCAAACGGCATCACCACCTTCATGTGTTCTGAAAGTTGCCTTTGAAACGTCTGCCTCCCTCATCCTGATATGATGGTACCCAGATTTCAAATTCAGCTTGGAAAATATGACTGCCCCGCACAATTCATCTACGAGCTCATCAATTACTGAAATAGGGAACTTGTCTAGCACTGTCCCCTTATTCAAAGCACTGTAGTCTACACATAACCGCCAGCTCTCATCCTTCATCTTGACCAGTAGGACTGGACTAGAGAAAGGGCTGACGCTAGGCCTGATGATCCCGACCTCCAGCATCTCCCGAATCAGCTTCTCAATTTCATCCTTCTGAAGCTGAGGGTAGCGGTAGGGACGAACACTGATCGGCGACACCCCATCCTTTAAAGTAATGGCATGCTCCAATTTCCTCTATAGTGGTAGGCCTTTGGGAGGTTGAAAGGCCTCGTTGTAACGTTGTATGAGTGGTTGTACTGAAGAGGGAATGTCATGCTACTCTTCCAATCTTACACCCTCCAAGCGATGCAACTCCACCAAATATCCTCCTCCCACCTCCTCTATGGTTCTGATCAGGGACTTGAGAGATACTCCAATTTTAGATAGCCATGCATCACACTGAATCATCACTTGCTTCCCTTCAACCACCAGTTTCATTCTCAAAGTCCCCCAATTGACCTTGGTCTCTCCCAAGGTCTGTAATCACTTCATTCCCAGAATAACATCGGTGCTTCCCAATTCCAAGGAAAGAAAGTCCTCCTTCATATGTATCCTCTAAATGGTCAACACCATTACCCTACAAACTCCTCTTCCCATTTTCACATTTCCCATGTCCATCATCACCCCATAGTCCCATATATCCACTAAATTCACCCCAAGTAGATCTACCATCTGGGTGGAGATGAAATTGTGGGTTGCCCCACTATTTATCAACACTACCACCTCCCTCTCGGCTATCTCTCCATTTACCTTCATAGTGTAATTCAGGGTGAATCCCACTATTGAGTTTAGGGAGACTTTTGCCACATCCAGATGCAATTTCTCCTCTTCCTTCATCTCTAGCCCGCTTCCACCTCCCTCTTCAGCTTCCTCATCATCACAGACGGTGATAACCTGAAGAGCTCGATCCTTACACCTATGCCCCGGCATGTACTTCTCGTCGCATCTAAAACATAACCCCTTTGCCCTCGTTTCCTGTACCGCCTTCTCAGTCATCCTTTTGAAATTTCCCCCATTTCTCCCTCCTCCAGCTCTCTACTTAGGCACTTCCTTTGGACTCCATGGTGCTGCCTCCATGGGAGCTAAGAAGGTGGTGGTCATTTTGTACGACCCCTGTGAACTGCTCCCTCTAGTCCCTTTCTCTAGCTGCCTCGATCCTCCACCAACTGGACTAGCTCCATGGCCTCCCCTAGGTCCCTAGCCTCATCACCCTAACTGCCCGTATCTCGTATTTCAGCCCCTTCATAAAGTTTCCCTCTAATATTGTCTCAGAGAGCTGGTCTAATATGTTGGTCAGGTACTCAAACTTGTCACGATATTTTGTCACCGTCCTCTCCTGTGTCAAGGCAAAAAATTGCTCATAGAAGTCTCCTTCCCTTCCTGTTCAGAAACGTTCTAGTAAGCATTCATTGAACTCACTCCAGCTTCGAATGGGTTGCCTCATGTCTAACCATTTGTACCATGCTAATGCCTTCCCCTCCTAACACAATCCGGCCGCCATTAGCTTTTCTTCCTCCGTTAATCCGTTGACTATGAAATATCGTTCCACCTTATAGATCCAGCCATGACCATCCTCGCCCTCAAAGATGGGCATCTTCAGCTTCCTCACCTTCGGGTCACTCCAGTGGCCTTTGAGTCCTCCATAACCTCCCATTCCACAAGATGGAAATGCTCCCCAGTTGTCAAGATCTTCCCTCTGACGATCATAACCAAACCCTTCATCAACTTTCCCTCTTCTTCTTTCAAAATCAGCACCTCGGTAGAGGAAATCTCCCCTTCTCCCCACAAAATCAGCACCCCTCCTTTCGTAGCCCATACTTATCTCCTCCCTAGAAAGGGGTTATAGAGGTGGCATGACATCCTCTCCCTCAAGGATCTCCACTTCCGGATTTTCCCTCCCCCTAAGCGGTTCGGATTCCCTCCTCTCCCACTGCCGTCAGTGGTTTCCCTTGCTTCTGATGTCGTCGGATTGGTCTTCACTTCTAGTATTTTTCTTCAACATCTCTTCCAAGGCGAACTTCTCTTCTATCTTTTCATTATTGGATGTAATCTAATTTGGAAATCATAAAACTTTTCCTTCAAATCTGATTTTAGTTATCTGATTTCGCCTACCAAGACTTCAACATTCTTCCTAGCCATCTTTCTTCCCAAGAATCACAAGAGATCTTCTTCCGGATGCGAAAAAACCACTGAAATTACAGAATTTCAGCCGCCGATGGTCCCAAGACGAGGCTCTGATACCAATTTGATAGAAAATACTTTAGTTCGCAAGCAACCATAACGGGAAATACTTGAGTTTGCAAGCAACCCTATCAATAATTGGTGAATACAGTGAAAATAATACAAGAACGATGAAGAAATTCCACAAAAACAGTAACTTTGATTATAGAATCAAATTCAAATCAAACACAAAGAAAGATACAATTGATCCCCTATTTGAGACGAGGATCGTCTCTCCCAAGTCTCTAGACAAGAGTCTAGAGCCCAAGACGCCAAAGTGACTACAAGAAAATAATAACCAAAGCATACCCTAACCCTTCCCCTTCATACCTATTTATAGCCCTCAGCCCTAACCATAAACGCCCCTCCCCTTGCCTAAAATACTATTTTTAAAATTAATTCAAATAGGGTGTGGGCCCTTATGCTAGGTGGCAACCCAAGGGAGGAGGTTTGAACCGCCTCTTGTAGACCATTGCCGGCCCAGGTGGGGCCGAATGGGTCGATTCAGAATGAACCGACCTATCAAAGGTCGGTTCTGGATGAACCAACCTATCACATTATAAACAAACAGTGCAATAAACAAGTTTGTCACTGTCGGAACATTTGTAATAAGCTGTTAGTGGAAGATATCACACTTAAAACATGCTAATGTATCCTCTTAACAAAATTGACAGGCCTCATTTAACAAGAAGGGTCGTTAAAACTTAAAAGATAAAATATGGCAGCACAGCATAAATCTAGAAGAACTAGATACAAGTTTCTCAAAAAATAAATAAATATGGAAAGTGATCTACAAACAAACCTCTTTGGCACAAGCAATGTATGTATTCTTTCTATAACAATAGTAGATTGACCAACAATAGCCCAATGGTGAAAAATGACAAAATGGAAAACACTATTGGAAACTCACCTTAGCTTCTCTAATGGAACGCAGCCCAAATCAATGTTACATATAGGACAGCAATCAGCATCCTCATCAGCTAGATTGTCGAAAATGCATTTCCTGCAAACTAATTCAAATATGTGTATATCATCATGAAAATAACAAAAATAACTGTTTTAATATAATGAAAATATAATGATAAAAAAATATAAATAATAATAATGATGATGATACAAAAGTAAACCCTTACTTCCATGCAACCTCATTCAAATCATGCATAAAGAACATGTCTAAAATATAGAAATAAGATGGGTGTGATAGGCATATAAATACACAACATTGAAGGTGGAAAAAATATTTAAATAAGGTGGCAATTTGATGCTATATGCATTGTTGTTAATGTGCATAGCAATCTAAGGGCCCCAATTTGTGTGGCTTGAGTTTGAATATGTTCCCACAGGAAATTGCTACTTTCGTAAGAAGATCATAACTAAGTCACCTTAAACACCTTTCGATTGGATGACAATCACCTTCATCTTTATATATTACTTTCAATAAGTTAGCATTGACTTCTTGGAGCATATTTTCAAAATTAATGGCGAGTTCTGGAAATGCCTTTCAAAATTTAGCAAACCTAACACAAGAGCTAAACAAAGACACATCTTGATGAGAGCAAAAATCTCTGGGGAGAGGGACCCCAAGAAAATTCTTGATCACCTCAAAAATAACAAGAGATAGACTTAGAAACTAAGTAAAGAGAAGAACAAACTCTTACATTTCATATTAAAAGACACTTACAAACTTTTGACTCAAGCGACTCAAACAAGACACCTTACAACTCTTACAAACGACACAAATAAAAAAGACCTAAACCTGCTTTCCAAGAGACGAAGGATACAATGAAGTGGATACTTGCGGAGAGACGAAAGAGATTAGAAGCCGAGAAGAAGGGTGGAAAGAACTCGCAAGTCTCCCCGAGAGATAGAAGAAGAAGAAGAAGCTCTCGAGCTCTTCCAAGAAAATCCGCATATTTCTTTATCAAAAATTCTCTTTTTTCATTCTCTAAAACATTCCAAAACATCTCATATTTATAGACATGAGAGGGGAATACAAACACCCCAAAAACCTTACACATTCTATATTAAATGAGGGAGATGAAAAGCCAACAGTCAACTCCAGGAAACAAAGCATCAAAGCCACGGAAAAGCCCCCAAACAGCCATTGGAAACAGCCCAGCTAGGGACCCAAAGAGGCAGCCGTGGAAACCTAAGAGGCCCGCACGGAACTTCTTTAATCTTTTCTTCATATTTCTTCAGGATCTCTTCTCATTCTTTCAGAAATTGATCTTGTAAACGTTGCATCTTCTTCATGTACCTTTCTGTACACAAGTGCATCCATGATTGAAGTTTGTACAGTTCATACAGCAGAGGATTTGATTATTCTGATGGAATCCATCTATCCAAAGGGTCTTCAATTTCATTTGTCTTGCTTTCTTCAATCTTTTAGTCTTTTTTCATTTTTTAAAAGAAAGACTCAACAATAAACTTGACTCAAAGACTCAACCTAAAAACTTAGACTCACAAAGACTTACAAGACTTATACGACTCACAAAACTCTCTCAACAAGACTTACACGACAAGACTTGACTTGACAAACCAACTTAAAAAAAATATAGGACTTCCTAACTTGCTCTGATACCAAAAATGATGCGAGCAAAAATCTCTGGAGAGAGGGACCCCAAGAAAATTCTTGATCACCTCAAAAATAACAAGAGAGAGACTCAGGAACTAAGTAAAGAGAAGAACAAACTCTTACATTTCATATTAAAAGACACTTACAAACTTTTGACTCAAGAGACTCAAACAAGGCACCTTACAACTCTTACAAACGACGCAAATAAAAAAGACCTAAACCTGCTTTCCAAGAGACGAAGGATACAATGAAGTGGATACTTGCGGAGAGACGAAAGAGATTAGAAGCCGAGAAGAAGGGTGGAAAGAACTCGCAAGTCTCCCCGAGAGATAGAAGAAGAAGAAGAAGCTCTCGAGCTCTTCCAAGAAAATCCGCATATTTCTTTATCAAAAATTCTCTTTTTTCATTCTCTAAAACATTCCAAAACATCTCATATTTATAGACATGAGAGGGGAATACAAACAGCCCCAAAAACCTTACACATTCTATATTAAATGAGGGAGATGAAAAGCCAACAGTCAACTCCATGAAACAAAGCATCAAAGCCACGGAAAAGCCCCCAAAACAGCCACGGGAAACAGCCCAGCCAGGGACCCGAAGATGTAGCCGCGAAAACCCAAGAGTCCCACACAGAACCGAGGCACCAAAGCACGGGAAAGGCCACTCAGCAGCCAACCGAGGAAGCCAAGGAGTTAAGCACAGAAAACAGCCAACATAGGAAATCTAAAAGCCATTTTGGAATCCCAAGGGACAAAATCAGAATTTTAAAAGATAAAACTATAAATAAAAAGCTATATAAATAAGACAATAAATGAACTAAAACCTAGCTAATAATGAGCTAACCTTTAGTTCAATAAATGAACTAAAAACCGGCTCATAATGAGCTAAATTTCAACTCAAAATTTATTGAGCTAGTAAGCTCGAGGGAAGTCAAAACCAAATTTTTTTGGGTTTGATCTGACCCCCCCCCTTTGCCTACATCACATCTCTATGGACTTGAAGCTTGATTGCAATTCCATTTCCCATGTAAATATTTTTTAGAAAGTCCATAATTAGTGTTATGATCACACAAAACCATTTGATAAACACTAGTAAAAATTCGTGAGTTCCTAGAAGCTATGAGCCATTGTAAGGGTTGTGGGTGTCAGTGATGCGGACATCCGACGTGGGCATTAATCAAAGGAAGAGACGAAGATCGACAGCTTAGATCCCTCCATTTTATCTTAGTTTATTAATTGTATTTTTTATTAATTATGCATTTTTTCATTTTACCCTTAAGGGTCTTGTCTTATGTAAGCCCAACGGGCAAAGTCGTCTTTTAGTTTCTTTTAAGGCATATATATAGAGGTCCTTGCACTTGTATTAAATCGATAAATGGATTAATAAAAAATATTATTTCTACACTTTGTTCTTGAGAGCTATAGGAGTTTTTAGGAGAGTGGAAGTCCCTATATGAGGGCAATGAAATATCCACCAACCGCAGGATGTGTCCGGGCCCATGGTTGAAGTCTCTAAGTGAGGGCATCGCATCACCCGTCAGCTGCAGGATGTGTCCGGGCTCACGGTTTATCTTCTTTCCCTATCTCCTTCCCTCTCTCTTTTCTCCCCTTATTCCGATTCTCGGCCACCACCTTCCCCTTCTCTCTACCGCCGGCTCCAATCTCCTCTCCACTACAAGTTTTCGTTTCTACTCCCCATACCCCCACCCCAACAATTAATTTCAAATTTAATTACCCCATCACATTTAATGCTATGGTCCACATACATCGAATGTGGACATCTTTCCTCCCTCCTCCTTTGGCTGCCCCCCTCCCCTCTATCCTAATGATTTCCTTCCTAATTAAAGGCTCCAATTAAGAAGATAATTAACTCCTCTCTTCCCTCCCTTCTTTTATTGTTTGAATTTCAAATTCAAATCCATTAAGGGAAATCTAAGATGAAATATTATATCTTTATTATTATATTACCCCCCCCCTTGTTCTACATCAGTCAGCCAGAACTAGATAGTAGCAACATTGCTCAGGTCAGCCTCAATGCATCAGTCACTCACAATAAACACCAAAAGATACACAATGTTTATAGTCAACTCGCATTTGGCCAGATTGAGATAAAGATGTTGTTTCCGTAAGGTTATGAATATTTCTTTTAGATGATGCAAGTGGTATTCTAATGATGAATTATAAATTAAAATATCATCAAAGTAAGAAGCAGTTAATTCATCAAAGAATAGTTCGAGTACCCCCATTCATCAATCAGACGAGCGTGCATGGTGAATCGCCCTAACATGCATGGCATGACTCTCCACCCAAATAGTCCTATATTTTAAAAGATAAATTCTATTTATCACCTAATTATATGCGTATTTGATAACACCCACTGTGGAAGTCAAGTTTCGAGAATGTAGAGAACCCGTGAAGCTTCTCCAATAGGTCTTCTAGTTGAAGCATAGCAAAGCGATATTCATTTATGATTTTGTTGATTGCATGGTTATCGATACACATACACCTTTTTTTCTTCTCCTTTTAGCATAAGTAATGATGTCATATCGCAATGACTCAAACTATGTATATAGAGTTGCTTCTTCAAAAGATCATCAATAATTTCTTGAAGAATCTCATGCTCCCATCTTGTAATCTGATAAATTCGGCAAATAAGAACCTAAAACTAAATCTTTTTTATGTTGTATTGCTTGCATGGGAGGTAGCTGTTCCAAAAGTTCTTAGGGGTGAGGTTCATGGGCGGATCCCCATGGTAGTGAGGGGGGGCAAATGCCCACCCTCAAAAAAAAAAATTTAAAATTTTAGAGGGTATTTTTTTGGTATATTTTGAGTATTTTGGGTATTTCTCAAAAAATTTTTTTGCCCCAATTTTATCAATCCTATTCATCTTTGTCCATCCCCTACCAAAAAAATTTTTTTCTGCCCACCCTAAAAAAATAACCTGGATCCGCCCCTAGTGAGGTTTTTAAATTGCCGTAGCAGGTCTGGTACACTTTGGTGAAGAATTATTGTTGTTATTGGCTACCTACTTCAACTAATATCAGGACATACGTTCTGCACCCCTCTCTATATTTAGTTAACAACTGAGAACAAGAAATAGTGGTAAACCTACCTTTCTCCAATGGAGTAAACTTGGAGAATGCGCAATCAGTAATAATAAAATCTTCTTGTTATTTTACTCTAAGACATATATGTTTGCATAGCAATCATACCTTGCACCCATATCATACTGTCAAGGTGATCCCAAAATGATGGGAGAAACATGTATGTCTAAAACGACACAAAAAGCTTCACAAACAAATTTTTTTCTAATAGAAAAAAGAAAACTTACACAAATCAATTACCATAACTTCAATTCTCTTACAAACCCATTTAATCTTGTATGGATGTGGATGTTTGGCGGTCTTGAAGTGTAATGATGTTTTCAATGCATCTGCAATCAACCACAAGTTAAATACCCAATTTTTTTGGTGCATCTTGTTCGAAAAAGTACTAGTTGTCGGTTGTCTGGGTGCCAACAAAACCATTTCCATCATACAGGGCATAGCTTCTCCATCATCCCCCCCAAGGTCTTCATACTCAACAGTAAAAACAAGAGGATTTGCTTAAAGCAAACCCCGATTTAAGAGCTCAGTTTTGCTTGAATTCTGCCTAGTAAGCAAAATTCACAGCTTGGAATAAAGACGAAACTGCATTCATTTCAAGCTTATCTTGGAATGATTCTTTTGAACCCCTCATGTATCTTGCAATCAGTTCAGTTTCATTGAGATTATTGCGAGAACATGAGTGATAATGAGGTAGAACCAACCAAGTCATGGTTGGGCAATTCAAAATCTGAAATTTAAATTCAGATTTTAATATTTGGAGAGGAGAGAAAAGTTTAAATTTGAATCTTCTCCAATTAAAAAAGAGAGGGCATCGTCGTCTTTTACTTTTGAGTCCTTTGTATGATACTATATATAGCTCTTATGTTCTTTTTTTATGTTTAATGATTGAATGATAAAATTTTCCCCGTGTTTTGAGTTCTTGTCAGAGCTTGAGAGATATTGGAGTGACGTCCCTTGGAGAGGGAATCAGATAACCCACCGACCTTGGAAGTGTCCGGGTTTGTGGTTCTTTCTTATCTTTCTTCTTTTCCCCTTTTTACTTCTTCCATTAGCCATCGGCCTAGGATGTAATATCAGTTTTTGCTCCAGGTTCGTCCGGGACGAAGTTGGATCGTCCGGGACGATCGGTACAGGTTGTGCAGAAAATCAGTTTTAGCCGCCGGCCACCCTAGTCCTCCACCCCACCCGTCGGCTAGGCCCAACCCCACCACCACCATCCACGGCCAAGCCTCCATACAGCCGGCCCCTCCCCTTGGTTTCCCTCCATCTCCACTTGCCATCAAGCCTTTCCTAATTTAGCTTTCATATTTTAGGTAACTCTATTAATGAGCAAATTCAAATCTATTTGAATTTGAAATAGTTACCTAAATTATAAATCCTATTTTAGGAAACTTTCCAATTCATAGCCTATTTGAATTTTGAATTAAATTGGGATGAAATCTTTCATTCCAAATTTAATTTATTAATTTAAGAAAGCATTAAATGCCTCCTTAATTCCCCCAATCTCCACCCTATTGCCGCCGTCCCCATCATGGGCTTCCTATGGAATTATTTCCTTAAGTCTATCTTCCCTCTTGGAAATAATTCAAGCCTCCTCTCCCTCTCTCTTGGCCGAAATCCCCATGCCCCACCTATTTAATTTCTTTCCAAAAGATAGTCTCTCCTATTAGAATTAAATTAAACCCCTATCCCTCTCTCTTGCCCGCCACCCCTCTCTCTCTTCCCCTTCATTAATTCCTTTCAATCAATGGGACTAATTAAGGAGGTATTTGAATTAAATGCCCTACACAAAATCTGAACCAAACTTCTTCTCCCATGCCCCAACCCTTGGCCAGCCATCCCTTCCTTCTTCTCCACTTCAACTCTTTAGAGGAACTTCTTTCTCTCTAGTGGAGTCTTCAGGGAAGCAACAACGATCGTCGCCCACACCTCAACCCTACGAAATCAATGAATGATCGATCCTGAACTTGATTCCGAATTCGCTTACTACGAGCAAGGAAACGTCAACATTCTCCACTCCACCTTCTTCGACTTCAACCCGGAAACCAACAACTCCGTTGAAGAATACGTGGACCACATCATCTTCACTCTTTCCGAAGCCATCGAATAACAACTTGTCAACGTTCAGTAGCAAATTGTTTCTGGATCTCGACAAGGTTGAACTTCTTCCCCTATTCATTTATTCTCCTAATCCGCTAGCCTTGTAGGTGGTGATTTAATTGCAAGGTTTCCTCTGCCTCCGTTTAGTAATCGTAGGAATTGAGTTTACTTTCTATGTTTCTACTCTCATTGTTAACGTAGGAATTTTTGTTGAATAACTACTTAATTCGTATGTTGTTGAAATTCTAAATTGTTTTGATGGTTCAAGTGCTTAGCAAGCTTAGCTACCCCTCTTACATTTTCTATCATCGTTTAGTACCAAATAGTCTTAATTGTTATTTGCTCTTATTAAAATCGTGCAAGTTCTTATTGCATTCATCTAAAAGCATACTTAGTCCTGCATCAGTCGGCCCCTTGATGAGGATTTAATTTAGTGATTAAGAGGGTTTGTTAAATTTGGAAATTTAAATTAGGAAATGAGATTTAGAGTATCACCTTTTCAAATTTTAAATTAATTTGAATGGTGGGGCCTTTCCTAACTTAACCCAACTATTTTAGGAAAATAATTTCAGATTTTAAAGAATTAAAAATCTAATTAGTAAACTTTGATTTTGAATTGGGAGGGAAGCAAATTCAAAAAAATTTAAATTAATTCAGGCAAAAGGGTGGAGGTAATTGGGGAATTGATGGCTTAATTTTGGGGGGCTTTAATAGGCCTCCTAATTAGATGAGAGATAAAGAGGGTGGCCAAGAGGGTAAGAGGAGGGGCCCACATGCATTAAAGAAGATTGGAGGAGATGTGGGGATTTAATTGAGTTTCTAATCTAAGTCAATTTAAATTAGAAAAGAGAATTTAATACAAATTATCTCTCCAATTTAAATTCAAATTTAAAAGGCCTTGATTGGAGGGACTTTCTTAATATAACTCATCATATTTTAGGAAAGAAAATTTAAATTCCAATAGATTGGAATCTGAATTTAAAAATTATTCCTAATTTAAAATGTTTTATTAATGGAAAGCATCAATTTGGGGATTTGAAATTTGGAGGCAAAAGAGCCGGCGGCTTAGAGGAGGGGAAGGGTTTTAGGGTTTGGGCTGGCGGCTAGGAAGAGGAGTTTTGAACCGGCAGTTGGGAGGAGGAGAGGGATGGTTTTGGGTGTGGGGATTCGGCCAAGAGAGAGAAGGGGGAATGGGGTTCAGCCTAGGGCTAAGGTGGGGAATTTCGGACAAGGGAGGGAGAGGGGAGGAGGGGAGGTCGGCGGCTAGGAAGGAGGGGAAGTGGCGGAGACGATAAACCACGAGCCCGGACACTTTATGTGGCTGATGGGTAATACTTTGCTCTCACCTAAAGACTTCAAACCACGAACCAGACGCCTCCTACAGCTGGTGGGTAGTACGTTTCCCTCACCTAGGGACTTCAACTATCATAAGAGCTCTCAAAGCTCTTAAGAACAAGAGTTCAACATTATTCTTCTTTATAATCAACCATCCCCTCAAAATAAGAGAAAGGGGCTATAAATAGCCAAAATACAATAATAAGACAAATGATAATAGTGTCCCCTTGGATTACATAGGCCTACTCCCTCAAGTGAGGGTAAAAACAGAAAAAATTGTATAAATAAATCAAAATAAAACTAATCACTCAAAATAAAGTGGATCATCATGGCCGTTGATCTTCAGCTCCTCTAATAAATATTCACGGTCGGATGTCCTCATAAAATAAACTCTTAGGTATAAGCACTCACAGACCAACCTCCCCACATAGATATTTGATATTGAAGTTACAGTATATGTTAATAGTAGAAAGATGAGAAATGAATTTGCAACATTTACTTCATTCGTTGCCATTGTTTTATGTCTTCAAGCCCATCTCGACTACAAGATTGACTCAATTGAACTCACCATGCTCCAGCACTGCCCTTAAGCCTACAGGTGACATACTTGTTTTTCTGCTACATTCTCTATAAATCTGAGGTCAAAAGATCCAATCATTGTTCAATATTTGCGGTAGCTTAGCCAATGGAATCCCAAGCCCGAACATCGTCGTTGGTCATGTCTATTGCTCTGATGTCAATTTGGCACAATGCGAGCAAAGAAGGAGAAGCACAGAATAAGTTCGTTAGGTTTTTTCCTCTGAAAAGTTATGTTCCAATACACTACTGTACCATATACCCTATACGACGAGGCTTAACGAAAATATAATTAACTGTATAAGCAGCATAAAAGTTAAAAAGCATCATTTCATTTGTATAAACTTCTCAATTTCAAATTTCAATAAGCAGCCAGAGGCCAGAATAAAATAAAACCACCATCATCGGTTGCCTCTGAACAGGATCAAAGACGAAAAATACGATAAACAGCATTGGTGCTATGACAAACAATAAAGCGTCCTCTTTTTCTCATTCTCTGCATAGCAGAATTTAAAAAAAAACGAACTGCACGATTGCAACAACGACAAAGATCCTCTATTCATACGTCATCAGCCAATAACGACCTCCCAAACCCAAGAAATACGAAGGCTCCAGATCCAATCCATTGAATGAGAAGAACCCCATAAACAGAACCAAGGAAACGCAAAATCAAGATCAATCCACGTCGTACAAGAACCACAATCATAACGCCAGGAAAAGCCAAGATTTGGGATCCAAAGAAGGGACTCACACGTATGGAGGCATTCCGATATGGCGGTGGCATCCCTAAGGAGCTTGTGGCACAGGGGACAAGTCATGCACGCTAATAGTAGCTTCCTTTGCACCCTAACCTCCTGCGGTGGAGCAATCGACTCTTCTGCGTTAGCCATCACCGCACCTCACACTTCCAACGTTGATTACTATCACTGAACAAGCTCAGAATCCCTCGCGAAACGAAAGACTATAAATCTCCATGCATGCGAGCTCCCCGCGGCTTCCTGAGAGCTCTGCGATCAGCATTGACGTCCGAGAAAGGGGATTCTTCATCGAATATTTGATTGTAGAGATTGATTGGATGAGTAAGAGGGTGGGGTTTACATGCCGCCGGCGAAATGATCCCCGGCGAGATTTGGTGGGCCGAAGAGGGATTCTCGCGGCAATAACGCGAAGGATCGAAGAACGACTAAGGAGCAGACAACCGTAGAAGTTTGTTTTGGCGTGTTAGCGCTACGCTTTAAATATCATGTTCCCGAGCCGGAGAATTGGCTTTTCTCGTACATATCACATAGAATGGTGCTAACGTGCGCTGGCGGTTTGGTTGGTTTTACTGAACCGGACCTGCCGGTTGTGTTTTTGGCGGTTTATTTGGAAAAGGGGTTGTTTTTGGAATTATTTACCGAAATATGTTTATTTAAATTGTTTAAAAAATTCAATTGTTCAAATATAAAATTATGATTAATATGTATAGCATATTATTATAATATTATTGAATTTTTAACTCTAATAATTTAAAAATAAATAAAATATATTTTAAATGATAAATAACAAAATGATGGGTGTTGAATTCAATTTTATCTATATATTATATCTTAAATGTTGCATACTGGAATATTCACGACGGTAAAAAAATATAAAGTTTAATGTCTTAGCCTTGTACGAAGGTCCAACACACAATCAAATAAGAGTGAGGGTGTTTCATTCATAAGAGTCATTAGACATTTTACATGAAAATCCTAAAAATGGGAAAAACCATGGGCATAATCCAATTTAAAGTATTCCACTAATATTTGCAATCGATTACAAATGAGGTCCTTCCTTGGGAGAAGGCATTGGCTTTATGTAACAAATATACATCATATGGAGCGCATTACATGGTAGGAATTACAATAATCATTAAAGACATGTTTGTTTGGTCGGCAGCACAATAGTCGGTAGACGACGGAGGTCAGAAAGGCCGTAGTCGAGTGATAGTGGTCGACGAGATTGTAGTCCACATATGACAGAGGTCGGAAGGACCATAGTTGATAGCGACGGATGTTGGAAGAACCATATTTTGAAGGTAACAAAGGTTTGAAGGACCATATTCTGGCGATGAAGGTAGGAATTGCCGTAATTTGGAGATGGAGGTTGGAAGAACCACTATCGATGGGCGGCGGAAGTCGGAAAGACTGTAGTCGACAGGTGATAAAGGTATGAAGGACCATAATATGGAGATGGAGGCTGGAATGACCGTAGTTGACAGGACCATAATATGGAGATGGAGGATGGAAGGACAATAGTTGGAAGGACTGTTGTCGACGGGCGACGATGGTCGAAAAGACCATAATCTAACAACGGGGGTCGGAAGAACCATAATATGTAGAAAAGAGGTCGGAAGGACCATTATCAGCGGGTGATGGAGGTCAAAAAGATCGTCGTTTTTTGGCAACGGAGGTTAAAAAGACCGTTCTTGGTAAACAAGGGAGGTCAGAAGGACCGTATATGGCCGAGTGTAAGTCCGACGACAATTGGTGACCTGTTAGAAGTCCACCTAAGGATGATGGTCGAGTATAAATGCGGCGACTAATAGAAGTTCAATGTCATGTAGAAGTCCGACGAAAATTCATGTGTCAGTTTGTGGTCTGATGGAAGTTCAACGTCAATTGGTGAGCTGGCAAAATTTTGGATGTTAGTCGATGATCGGTGAAAATCCGGTGTCAATTGGTGGTCAAGGGGAAGTCCAGCGGCAGTTGGTGGTCAAGCGGAATTGTGGTGTTAGTTAGTGGTCCAGTGGAAGTTCGGTAATGTTTGAGCAGGAGCTAAGTGGTAAGTGTGATATCTGATCTCTCTTCTTGCTTTTTGCTTGGGGTCCCCCTCCATGAGAGGTGAGGGGTCTATTTATAGATTTATGAGAGTGATCAAGGGTAAATTGGGTGTGGTTTCATGGATGGTCGATGTTGAATCCCTTGATCATTGACCATTTATTAGGCATTTGAATGTCTTAATGATATTATAATTTAGTGATATTGGGCTTGTTGGATTCGTCTCGTTGAGTCGCTTGATTCAATTATAAGCAAGTCATGTTTAGAAATTGTTTGGTAATCCAAATTATGGTTTGAACCTTTCAAATGTGTTTCGGGTCTTTGATTTGGACTTGAATTGAGTTGAATTTGGCGTCGTTGGGTTTTTATTTACGAGACGTTTAATTCGACTTTAGGTTCGTTTAAATCATAGTTAAGATGGTTCCAGTTTTAATTTTTAAAGTTTCCAACTTGATTTTGCCTTGAGATTCATATTTGATCAAGATAGATTTTTTTATAATATACCAATAATATTATTTTCAAGAAAAATAAGGAAAATAAAAGAAAATAAAATAAGAGAAAGAGATAAGAATTTTAGGATGAGAAAATTCAATCATGATATTAAATCATTATATGAAAACTTTTTTTTTTTTTCTATGTCAAAATCTTAAATCTTCCACTGCGATCCTATTGTATGTATGTTTTAGCTATTATTTAATATTAAAAGTTTTAAATTTTATTAGTATATGAAGTTTTTTTTTCCTTAATGATGACCATGAAAGAGAAAATAGACAGAATAATTAATAAATTATCATTTTTTTGTAAATTATTTTAAATTTTAATAAGTAAAGTTAGATATAATTTATTATTATTTTTACATGATATGAGTAAAAATATATAAAAATTGAAATACAAAATACAAATATAGAAGGGATTATTCTGTGCGGTGTTCGATATCCTTAAAAATATTTAATTAATTTATGTACTTTCATTAAAAAATTTCTTTCCTGATTATGAGAAAATATCCTGATATAAAATTTATTATAATAAATTTAAATTTATTTTTAGGTTAGTGTAATAGAAATTCTTTTTATTTAATATTAATTTCCAATCAAAGACAATAATTTTTAGGATCATCCTAATTAATAAAAATGGGTGTTTCATAACTATAAATCAAATTAATTAATACTATTTATTTATTAAAAAACATCTTTTTATAGTTTGAATTATATTTAAATATTTAAATTATATATAAATAAATAAATATAAGATATGCAAATAGATAAAGATTTTTTGAGTGGCAAATAAAATATTTAAGGTGATATCTCAATTTTTATTTTCAAGAAAATCTTAGGGTTTAGGGGAAACAAGAGGACCTTGCACGAATTTCCAAAAATAAATAGATATTATTGAATGGTGGATCCCGTAATATTCTTTGGGAGATATTTTTATAGTAATTATATATGTTTTTAGAAACTTAAAATATAATAGCTGATTAGTTAGTTATTTAATATACTAATTTACATAAATAATTAATTATTAAAGTTTAATCAGAATATGTAATAACTAATCAATAGATCCTCTTACGATATCCATTGTTTTTTGGAAATTCGTGCGCGGTCCTCTCGTACCCATCATCCAAGGAACAATTATTACGTCCTCTGATCGGACGTAGAGCTACGTTCGGTCGCCAACAACATGTCGCCACGTGCTCTTACTCTAAACGCGCGGCCCGACGACTTGACCCGGAGCGGAACCCGGGAATGCTATGTTTGCGATTTTCTCGTTATTGCTCGGTATTTGCTAGGTATTACTTTGCAAAATGAGAAATACCACTCTGTGAAGACCAATACCATGCAAATACCGAGTTGTACCGAGTTTTTTACAACTCGGTACAACTCAGTATTTGCTCAGGATTTGCTCAGTATTGCTAGGTATTTGCTCGGTATTGCTAGAAAAAACTCGGTACAACTCAGTATTTGCTCGGTATTGCCAGGTATTTGCTCGGTATTGCTAGGGATTTGCTCGGTATTGCTAGGTATTTGCTCGGTATTGCTAGAAAAAACTAGGTACAACTTGGTATTTGCTCGGTATTGCTAGGTATTTGAAATATATCCAAAAGGTGATGAGATGTTGTTCGGCTCGTCAAGGATTTAAAAAAATGAACGTGCGAGAACCCAAAAAATAGCAGGTCGGGTCGACGACTTTTCTTCATGCTACGTAGCGCTAAAATATTGGTGGCCGAACGTAGAGGAGGGTACGTTCACCGGACCGAATAAAAGTTCTCATCCAAGTGTGGCAATGGGTTCATAAGAATATTTGATGGGCATTTTTGTAGGAGTATTTCTCCTTATGTATATGTAATTATGATTTAAGTATACATACTTATGATATAAAAAGTTAATTATTTAATGAATTAATCAACAATCAATTAATTAATTAAAACAAATTTAAGCCATAAGTATGATGAATTCTAATTAAAGATTGAATAGATAAATTATGGATTAATTATGATTATTTAAGAAAACTAACTAACCATTAATTAACTAGTTTATTAACTTGAGAATAATGATATATTTGATAAAAATAATTTTTGTTAATTCGAGTAAATAACTAGATAAGAAATTATATAATAATAATAGTGCCCACAAACTTGTGTGCCTTTTGGGGAGCATGAACAGCTAGACCATTATTTGACATCGCCGACTATTATCGCTCAGACCTCTGTAGTATGCCAACTACCATCCATCTCACCATTGTCGTCTGCTAATTATAGTCCCTCCGACCTATGCCGCCCGCCGACTACGTCCCTTTGACCTCCGTCGCCCGCCAACCATGGTCCCTCTGACCCCATTGCCTTACCAAGTAAATAAACAGAAAAATGACTCATTAATTATTGGATTCTTCTAAATCCAATCATGTAACGTGCTATATATGATACATTATTTGTAGTCGGCTACAAACACTAGGGGAATCGTTTTAATCAAGTTAGGCACCATGATTTTTCCCCTTTTTTTAGGGGTTTTCACGTAAAAATATTGGTGTCTCTTATGACTCTCACACTCCGCTCTCTTTATCTGTATATGTGATGGATCTTCGTTTAAAGCTAAGACATCAAGTTCTTTATCTCTCCACCGCCTCAAATGTTCAAGTCTGTAATAGATATATATTGATAAAAAAGTTAATTTGTGGCATTCTTATGTCTTTATTAAGCTATGACATTAAAATATACTGATTATAGAATAATTAGCTTTATTTAGGTTAACAACTGATATTTAAAATTAATTATACAAAAATTACGTAATAGATGTGATTAGTACTTATTTAATAACAAAGCTGATGAATTAGAACTTAATCATGCTTTAATTAGAAAATTGTTATTAATTATTGATCTAATTATATATTAATTAAACGTTATTAGGCCACTTAAAAACATCTTATATCATAAATTTTTAATTATAGTTCTGTGCTAATTTTCTAATAATCTCACGCGCCCATATCGACCTGGATGACACTTCACAGGTGTCATGCTTTGATTGGCTATTAACGGATTCCTCATCCGTTAAAGACAATTCTTAGCCACAAGCTCTCCTCCACCACTTTGCTACCAAAATAAACAGCCTTCATATCTCCTCTTTCATCTCACCAAACAACACAATTACTCACACTTTGTTCCTCTCTTCCTCTAGATTTAGTAAAGATGGCTGCCGTCACTGCCGCCGTCGCCGCCCCGATTGTTGCTCACTCTGTCGTCCGTCGTAAGGCCTCGGCCGCCGCCTTCACTTCTCCCATCATAGGTTAACTCCTAACTTTCAGTATATATCCCATTTTTTTTATAGAATTTTAAGTAAGATTTGGTTTTGATACATCTTATTTTAGTTTCTTTATTGATTAAGTTTGGGATTTATGAAGTATTACTATTATGTCAGTTAATGAACTTAAGGTTTTTTATTTTTTTTTATTTCACAAATCTCATGTTCTAAAACAAATAGTCAAACAATTCATTACAATTTAAATTTTAGCTATCTCACATAAGCATTTACTGTTACAATGTTTTCAGGGTTGCCGCAAATTCGAACTCGGGGAGGAGCTATTAGATGCTCATCTGAGGGGAAGCCGGCGACGAACAAGAAAATTAACAAGTCAATGGCGGCGATGATGGCGACGAGTATGATCGGTGCAACAGGACCTGCGCTTGCGTTGGTGGATGAGAGGATGAGCACAGAGGGGACAGGATTGAGTTTGGGAGTGAGCAACAATTTACTTGGTTGGATATTGCTTGGAGTATTTGGGCTTATATGGGCACTCTTCTTTGTCTATACAAGCACATTAGAAGAAGATGAGGAGTCTGGATTGTCACTTTGAAAACAAAAATGTATGTGTATGTATTTGAGAACTTAGGGTTTATGATATTTTCTTCTAAGTTTGATGAATGGTACAATGTTTGATGAAAATGTTGTGTTATATTATGAAATTTTGTTGTCTTTTTTATGATATTTGTACTATGAGTTGGTATTTTAATTTTAATGATAAGATCGACGCATTCTTAGTTGTTTTGTCCGATTTGGATATTTATGTTCGTTTTGGGATAGGGTAATATTAACAATTAACAACTTAAATGTTCTCTTGTGTCATAAAAAAGGTGGGTTGGTTTTGGTTGATATTTTTCGTCCGTTTAATAAATTGGTTAGATTCAAGCTGATCGTATTTGCGTCGTATTAATTTTGAGTTAGGACTAAACCTAATCTACAGGCCCAAATGGACACCCTCACACATACCCCGGTAGTATCCCTAATGTTATGAATAGAGACCAACTAAGTCTATCTCCCGCCTAACAAAACATCCGTCTTTATAGAGAAGGGATTGATCGATAATATGAAATGCTTTGGTCAATCTCATTAAAAATATGAAATGGCTATATGATTGTAAGCTTATGATCCAATGGGTATAAAGGTTGAATTGATTAAGGCATTTATAATTAAGGTTTTGTTTGTGACGGCTTTCTTATTGCTTCTTGAAGCATATTTTTAGTTAAATAATTAAAAATTTTGAACTAGAAAGCTACTTTAAGAGGCAGTAAGAAAGCCTCCCAAACGAAACCTAAGTTGCTAACATTTTTTCATAGCTAGCCAAAAATGATGATAAAACTTTTTTGATTAAATCAAGTTATTGTGTAAAGATCACTTGACAACTATAAAGAAAGAAAGTGGTTAGGTTAGATCTCAAAATGCAATATGAGTCTATCTCCATAAACCTTAACCTAAAGGATCATTAAGTTTAATTGATTAAACTTTATAGAACCATAGATTTGCTTGGTAAAATACTTGCCATTATTAAGGTACCTTGTTAAACCTCAGTCAACTATAGCTCACCCAATAAGTATCAATTAGCCAGATGATAACTTAAATCCATAAAAATATGCTACATTGAGCGTCATGTAATTTAAAATAGACAGAACCAGCAACTTATATCACAGACATCTTAGGCTTCGTTTAGAACAGTTTTTTTGTTGCTTTCTAAAACAGTTTTAGAGTACAAAAATTTCTAATTGAAGAGTTCTTTTTGCTAGAAAACTGTTTTAGAAAACACAAAAAAAGTTGTCCGAAACGGAGCTTAATAACTCTTTCTTAAGTGTGAAATAATTGTAAAACCATGGCATAACTTCGTAAAAGTGATAATGTTAAACTTTATTTTTATAAATGGTTAATTACACAATTCTAATCCTTAACTAGCCCATAACTGCTTTAAATCTCACTCCTATCTCACCAAGATTTAATTTAGGCACCTAACTTTGTTTGGACTCCAAATCTTTCAAATTCTAATTTATTTCATATTTAGGGTCCAACTTTATCAACCTAAGTCCTAAGTAGGAGGGGACTATAGTTCATCATCTAAAGCTAAGAGGATGCAGCCCCTCCTCTATTCACTTGTAATTAAATATTAAAAATTAAGATGACATTAAAATTGAGTGAAAAGAAATTCACGCAATAGAGAGAGAGAGAGAGCAATATACTTGAAGAATTTGGGCTGCAAGTGAATTGAGTGTTCGATAAGCTGCTCGTGGCTCGGCTTGAGAGAGAGAGAGAGAGAGAGAGAGAGAGAGAGAGAGCAATCTACTTGAAGAAATTGGGCTGCAAATGAATCGAGCGTTCGATAAGCTGCTCATGGCTTGGCTTGATAAAAGCTCGTTCATGTTCGTTTGATAAGGTAAACAAACGAGCTTGAACACTCTTCATATAAATAATCGATACATAAATGAACAAGCTTGAACAACTTGTCATTCAATTCATTTATGTTTACGAACAATATCGTTTAAGCTCATGAATAAGCTCAATTAGAGTTTTAAAAATAAATACTATTAAACCTACTAATTTAATAATTTATTTTTAATGATTTAATATTTTTAACTTTAAAAATTTTCATTATACATATTTTTAACTTTTATTTTCAATAATCTAACTAATTAGAAATATTTTTTAAAAAATTTTCTCTCCATTCAAAAATTTTTATCCGTCCATCCCAGCTCCCACCTCAATTTCCAGCCTCGACTTCCGCTCAGGAAAAAGGTTGGTTTAGTCCCACACCGTGAAATGAAATAAGATTATGCTATATATAAGGAGTGATACTAGCAATGAGATTGATGCGTGGAGGGTTAAGCTCAGTAGTCGGGGTGGGGTTGTGAGCGGGTCGGCTCAATTTAAAAAAAAAAAAACTTTTAATTTCTGCTCGTTTAACGAGCTACTCGATTAGAGGCTTGACGAACTAAAAATTAATTGAGCTCGAACCTGAACACGAGCTGAACTCGAAAACTCCTAAAAAAAAATATTATTTTCTTCCTCTAGCAATAGAATCATCGTCGAACACATCTTTCGTGCCTTCCCCCTACTTGGCGCGAGGTAGAGTTCTGCACCAGTCGATTCTTCAGCTCCCTCGTTGCTACTCGACATCACTTTGACGACGTTACCTTATTGTCGAATTAGAAGGCATGACATTTTCAGAGGCATTTAGGGTTTGTTTTTCATCTTTTTTATTTTTCCATTGTTGTTCAACTTTGTTGCTTGGCCTGAGGATTCGATTATTTGGCGCCATCGTTGTTGTTTGACTTCACAACAACTTCCTATGGTGACATTCCTTTCCTGTCTGATCTGAAATCATGCAATGTTGATCGAAGGCGGACTGGTGATATAATACGAGATAATCGATTGGGGAAACATGTCAATGAAGATGCAAGCGGAGACGACATTGTTTGTGAATTTTGATAGAGTTGGAGATGGGCAGATGAAGGCGTACAAAGAGGCAATCTATCAGATTGAGCACTTGAATCATCCCGATGGCAAGATTCTCTATGTTCCTGTTTGAGTCTAGCTCATTGGAGCTTTTAATCTCACCAGAAGAGCGCCATCATCAGGGCCAAACATGTAACAAATTCATTGAACAAAATATAATCATGTAAGATTTTGCTTTACTCTGCATACATCTAACCAAAATAGAAAAAGCAATTACATTCATTTATATTATAGCCAACCAAAAAAGATCGAAGTATTTAATTTATACTATATTATTTTGCATTCAGAGCCCCTAAATTTTAATAAATTAAACAAATATAATAATAATAATAAAATAAAAAATACCACATGAATTTAGAATCTTGATGTCTACCATCCAATGAACGGCTGCCATCCCATCTCCCCTACCTCACGTCATCACCCTATTGGACAGTGTGGACAACAAAAATCAACCCGCACACTAGGTGGGATCCACGTGGTGGGGCCACAGCGAATGGCAATATCGTAATATCTCTTTTCTCTTGTCACCCGCTATCGTCGGAGGGAAAAAAAGGCGCGAAAGGAACTCTAATCTCCCGCTTCTTCTACTATTCTCCACATCGATTTTTACTATATATTCCTAAGTCTCTCTCTCTTTCTCTCTCTTTCTCTCTCTCGCTCGCTCTCTGCTCGGCCCACCCAACTCCCCAAACCCTAACAGCAGCGATGCACCCAACAGCCGCCACCGTCACCGGCGGTAACGATCCACTCCGAAGAGGTCCGGCGAAGAAGCGTGGTAATTACAACTGCGGGCGATGCGGCCTGCCGAAGAAGGGACATGTCTGCTCCTCTTCTCTTGCCGCAGCGCTTCCCCCGCGCTCCGATCACCGCCTACGCCGCGCGCTCTCCTTTGATGATGAGGAGGCCGAGGTGACCACGCCGCTGCCAGAGGCGGCGGGGATGGAGTTGACGGAAGAGGATGAGGAGGAGATGGTGGAGGTTGGTGGGGGGTTGGCTCTGCCGGAGTCGTGCCTGGCGAAGGTGCTTCGACGGTTGTCTCTGAAGGAGTTGATGGGGTCAGCGCTGGTGTGCAGGGGGTGGAGGGAGTGCGTGAGGAGGGTGTGGATCTCCGCAGATGAGATTAGGGTTAGGGTTTCGCAGATCGGGTTTGTGGGATCGGTGCTTCACAAGTGTGCTAACCTCGCTCGGCTCTCGTTAATTATGGAAAGGTTTGGAGTCGAACTTGATCGGATTGATTGGCCAAGGGTTGAGGGTTATGGGGAATTCTGGTTAAAAATTGTGGAATCACCGTCGATCTAATTTTTAATTCGAGACATTAAATGAAGGAAGATGGAGCATAGCCTTAATAATTAATTGAAAATAAATAAATGAGTAGAACTTAATCGAAGCACGAGGGAAAATGATTGCTGTCGTGGAATTTGTTAATTGCAGATCTAGAATTTATTAAGATTATGCATGATGAAATCAATGGAAGCAATCAGGGAAAGGATTTCTGTTCTGTCGAACTTATATTCAGTGCGTTTCTCACTTCTGTTTTCCTTGGTTTTCTTCGCTTGATCAACGACTAGGGTTAGGCTGCTAGAATTTTCTCGATCTTTCTTTGCAGCAAAGCCTTTTCATGTGTCGTTAGATTTCATCTTCAACAATCATATACCAAAATTTGTTTTTGGTTTATTTGATTTAGTCCTTGTGCTTTAGCAAAATCCACTCTTATTGACTTCTGTTTTAGTGGCATGGAAGTACCATTATACGATTTCACTCGTACGTTTCTTTGAATTCCCTATTTTGTGGGTTTTAATCCTCAGTTTTCCATTCATTCTAGCTCCCCGCATTTGATATGCTTGGATTTGGTGATTTATTAACAGATCCAAAAGTAGATCTTATTTTTTATTTTTGTATCCATTTACCCTATGTTGGATAAGGTTTCAAGGTGTTTACAAACGCAGCGAGCTTACTTAATGTTAGGATTAGGGGTTCAGATTGGCAGATCTTCGTTTAGATCTCATTATGTTCGTACTAAATGAATAATAATAATGGCTAAAAATGATAGAAATTACTAAATTTAATCTTTTGAGTAGATATACCTCATATACGTTGAAATTATCACGAGCTTTTAGATTCCACAAACACCTCAAATGTTGTTTTGTTTTCACACACCAAATGGATGTATTTAAAATAGTTGCTTTTAGCCCAAAATGTTCTATTCATAAATAACCAAATAGTTCTATGATATTTGTGAAGTTTGACGTTTATTATTTTATTTGCATGTTCTAATGTGCTATGAAATTCCCGTAAACAAACTCTGTTGATAATAAATGCCCATGTCTTTTGGTGCAGTGATGCTGATTCAACAGTATTAGCTTGTGTTGCATTCGCATGTCCCAACTTGGAATGCCTTGAGATCAGTCTTACAAAAAATGCAGTCAATCGAATAACTGGGTATCACACTATCGCTTTGAAGTATTGTAATTTGACCATTAATTTTGAAAATATGAGGCCTTTTTAATACATAGGCATATCCCATTTCTTACTTATTTGAGAAATATGTTGCATTTTATATGTTTAAGAACTGTTAGTTATTGATTGTGATGATTGCTATTCATCCCGCACCAGCACATTTTATTAAAAAATTTCAGTTTTTTGTATTTATTTTTATCATCACTTATACCCCTTGCAGGAATAATGGACATTGGAACGGCTTTGATGTTGTGTACTTTTGTCAAAATTTTTTATACATGATGTTAAGGTCCATTCAGATAAATCTTGCAGCATTTCTACGACTGAAAACCAACTAATTATGTCCATCTTACAATGAATTTCTTTGTATGGAAATTCCCGTTATATGGGTTTGTGGTATTCACTTTCATGGATGGCCTTCACGCAAGAAATCGTATCACCAGGCCTGCAAAATCTGATGTTCTCTTTTCAATGATACATTTTCATACTGCTGATAATACCATGCTTCTTGATTTGGGGAAATACACTACTTGAATGTAACCTTTTATTATTGATATTCTAATCAAATTACCTTTTCCTAGTTGTTCCTCCAAGTTCATTTATCATTATTTTTGGAATGCAATACTTATTTTTTCCCCTTATTTTCTCTTTGTTTTGATGCCACTTTTCAAATAGGGATGAGCTAAGTCATTTTGTTGCCGAAAAGCGGAGTCTTTCAGTTCTTAAAGTTTCAGGATGTTCCAATCTAGGCTTTTTGAACATCAATTCTACCAGTTTGTCAACGCTATGGCTTTCGGACCTTTATTGCATATCTAGAATGGTATCTATTAGGCATATTCACGATCCTGTCTAGCTAGCATGCTGACTTGCTTTTCCATGTACTAACCAAATAATATTTTTTCCTAGGTTTTACACTGCCCAAATCTTAAAGAGCTTTCTTTAAGTTTTATTCAGAAAACAAATGATTCAACCGATCTGGTTAACATGATGGATTCTCTTGGTCGTGGGTGTCCAAATTTAAGAAACATTCATATTGCATCAGCACTACTTTGTAATGATGCTGTACGTGCTTTGTCAGATGCAAATATTAGGTATGCGTTCACTTATGATCAGTTTGGCTTATTCTTTCAATCATTTTCTTGAATTAATGGGAATTCAATTTCATCAATGCTTAAACATTGTAAATATATGTGATCAATACTTGTGAAATTGCAAAAAGCTATCTTAATTTATGTTGAAAGTATCCGATATTGCACATTTAAATTGTATTCCTATTGCCGACTAACTAAAGGCTGCTGATTCCTCCAGGGGTTTGCGCATGCTGTCTCTGATTCTTGGTTCTCGAATCACAGATGCATCAGTGGCCTCAATTATTGCATGTTACACAAATCTTGAATTGCTTGATTTGAGTGGGTATGTTCCATTTTTCTTTCCATGAGCACTCTATTATTAAATGGTTTGAGACGATAGTCAAGCTCAGTATGAGCTATTTTTGTATCATTAGTTCAACTTATCAGGCAAATTATGGCTTCACTATTTGTTATTTGTAACTAACAACTTCACACTTGTATCTTCCTATATGAACTTGTAAAAATTGAATATCTAATTATTGATTGTGCTTCTTTCAGGTCAAGTATTACTGATAATGGTGTTGGAATGATATGCAATGCATTGCCTAGAACGTTGTCCACGCTCCGCCTTGCTCTTTGTCCAAACATAACTTCTAGTAATCATCTTTAAGTCAAGCTTATGCTAAATCCATATTTTTTACTAGAGAACTTATTGATATGATTGAACAATTTCAGGTGGAATTCAATTTGCCACAGCCCAATTGCCACTTCTTACATTAATGGACTGTGGAATGAGTATCTGTGATTATAGTTGCGATGATCAACATCCTCAAGATAGCATGATTGACATTGATGAAGAGGCTTCAGAAAGTAGAAAATACCAACGTTTTCTTGCTAAAAAGCCTAATTCTATGCATCAGAAACTGTTAATCAAACATGAGTGTTTAAAGAAACTTAGCTTATGGGGCTGCTCAGGGTTAGATGTATGTCCAATTTCTTTTTACTATACTATATTATTTTCTTGCTATCTTTTTAAGTATGCATTAATATTGCAGGCTCTATATCTCAACTGCCCAAAACTTGTTGAACTTAATCTTAATTCTTGTACAAATTTACATCCTGGTAAGAGTGATTAATATATGCTAATTTCTAAACCATGAATATGCTCTGTCGTTATTTGAAGAGACTTGATAACTGTTGTTGTTTAACTTTGCTTTCACTGTAGAGAGACTGTTGCTTCAGTGCCCAAACTTAGGAAATGTTCATGCCTCTGGATGTCAAGACATGCTAATTGGAGCAATCCGGAATCAGGTGTGCATTTCCTTTAGCTACTTAGATTTTTAAAACTCAATGTTTGTCATAAAACATTGAAGTAATCCTCTGTAGAAATGGGGAAAATAGAGCATTGCTCAAGGAAATTTTTTGATGGTTTTACGTGCATAGAAGATAAGAGTTAGGCAAAATGTGCTTATGAGAGCAATGATGATCATATGAATGAAATGCTAACATGTAAGAACATTGGAAAAAGAAGATGAGAGTTTATGTGATTGGATGAGATTTCATAGATGGATAAATGCTCACTAGGTTAGAGTAAAAAAAATAGAATACACTTATATACTCTTAAATATCTTCTTGCTTTTATTTCATTAATATTTTGTAAGGATGATGAGTAGATTTAGTGCTTTGGTTACTCTTCACTTAAAATATGATTAGTATAACCAGAATGTTAAAGATGGAAGAAGGTTAAGGTTTTGTTTGGTACGACTTTCTTGCTGCCTCTTAAAGCAGCTTTTTAATACAAAAATTAAAATTAGATAGAAATAATACAACACAATTTAGCCGTAAATCTCATCATCATCAAGTAAAACACAGTTTAGCCAACCATTTTATCTGATTGATAAAACTGTAAATAATGTTCCTAACGGGCTTAGAAATCTGCCAGCCTTCCCTTCCGAATCTAAGTAGAGCTTTCTGTGTGCTTCCAAAATATTGAGCCATTAATTGATTGTGCATGTAAAAAATGTGTGTTTCAAAGCTTTAGGCTTCGTTTGGGATGGCTTTATTATTGCTTTTTAAAACAACTTTTTAGTATAAAAATTAAAATTTTGTTTTAGAAAGTTGATTTAAAAATCAATAATAAAGCTGTCTCAAAGGAAGCCTTAATCTTTTTTTTTTTAATTTTTATTTTTTATTTTCCTGTGCGTTTGAATAAGTTTCTTCTATTTGTCAATCCATTGATTCCATTCTTTGTATTTTGAAATAACAAAAACATTTTCCAGGTTCTCAATGAGTTTACTGCGGTAGAGAATCAGTTTTCACTAAAGCGTTTGGCTGACGGTTCTAAGAGAGTTCAACTTCCCCGCTTCCCTCCACAAGTGGTAAGCTTCACTTTTCCACCCATCTCTTTATTAATATTATATAGCAAAAATATAATTATTTTTTCAAATTTTATATTCAATCTTTTATCATCCTATTTCAGTTATATGAAGATGAGAAAAGGAAAAGGATCCGACCAACACAGTGTACTCTCCATCTAAAGTAAAATTTTGTCTATCTAACTTTTCAATTCTCTATTATTAAATAGCAAAAATGGTGGACTATCAACTTTGATTTGTTTGTAGCTGAATAAATTTTAGCCCACCTTATCTTTGCTCTCGTTCCAGAATAAAAATTTGATATCAAGAACTCATTTGAATGTAAAATGCGTGCTGATGCATTATATTACAATCTTTATTGAATCTATTGAGATATCTATATGGAAATTTGTTCAAATGTTTTGAGCTTTGGTTTGGTATTTGAATTTTTTTTTTATTCATGAAAATTATATTACATAGGAATGTTCTTATTAAGTCTTTGTTTGGGGTGATTTTCTTATTGCTTTTTAAAGTTGTTTTTTGATAAAAAATTTAAAGTTTTGTACTAGAAAGCAATTTTAAAAAGTTGTAAGAAAGCTTTTTCAAACAAAACATAAGATTTGATTATGATGAAATTTTAAATTTTGTATTTGTTTTAAGTTGAATGTAATATATGAATAATTTATTGCACTCATCTCAAATAAATTTAGGAGTTTAAAAATTCATCTTGATTAGATTTCTGTTGGATTTTTTTTTCCCTTTATTATGGAAGTAATTTGAGCTCTCTGATAGAATATGCTGAAATTTTTTTGGCTTTGTGCTCTTTTTGTATGAATGGGCAGAAAAGCTATTTCATGGATTTAATTATTGTATGCAAATTTGAACTCTTTCATATGAATTTATCCATGGCCTAAGTGTGAATGTCATGTAGACACTTCATCATTTGAAGGCGAATTAGACTTTGTTATGTCACCCGATACATAGTGGTATACAGTCACAATTAGGGGTGTAAATGAGTTGAGTTGAGTATTTGCCTTGTCAAGCATGGCTCGTTTAATCTTTAATGAGCTCGAGCTTGAGATTGAGCTCGATTAGTGAGCTCGAGATTGACTCGTTTAGAAAATATCAAACTCGAGCTCCACTTGAAAGCTTGAGTTCGTTTGAAAAGCTCGAGCTCATTTGAGAAGCACCAATGCACGTGATGTGTATTATTATATATAAATATAATATATATATAATTATATCGAGTACCTTGATAAGCTTTCATGTCGAGTTGGGTTGAGCTCGAACTCGAGCTCGTTTATCATACGAGCTCGATTGTAGGCTTGAGCTCGAAGCTCTGCTCGCGAGCTCGTTAATGAGTCAAGTTTGAGCCAACTCAGCTTTGATAAATTTTATTCATCTATCTACTACAAATGCCCTTTTCCAAAAGCTTTAAATAATTTTGCAATTTTAAAAATACTCTTCTTAAAGTAATAGCATTTAAAATCATTTTTATTTAAAATAAAATTTGACAATCTTATTATGTATATAGATTATTTTGCTTTTCATAGTAGCTTAAGGTGAAATATGAGAAAGCTAAAAAATATAGGATTTTATTCCTATTTCCTATGGAATAGAATATATTAAATATCATAAAATAAAACCTACATTACTCTCAGTATTATTATGCTTATTTGATGTAAGGGTTCGCTAACATCAAATGCACATAATTTAAAATTTATAATATAAATTAATTTTTTCATGCCTTATATCGAAAAGTCTCATTTAGGAATATTTTTCATTCATATTAATATTCTCATTTTTATAATGTCATAAATTTAATCATCATTATCTTTGAAATTAATGAAATGGGATTAAAACTCAATTACAACTAAAAGTTGATTGAATCATAATAATTTAAATAAGATTTTAAAACTCAAATTATATTGGAACTCAACTTAAACTTAATAAAATAAATAAAAATATTGAAATACTAATAGAGTAATATTCGGCTCAAATGCTTTCTCTTTTCATTCAACTTTTACTTGAGACCAACACAATCTATTTACGAATATAAAATACACTTAAAATCATATATAATTTTTTTTTTTAAAAATACATATCCTCAAGAATATATACATATAATCAAACATATTTTAACAACATTTTATAATAAATGAGGTTGCAAAAACTAATCTAACTTGAGCTAAATACTGAGCCCGACTAGTGAAAAACGTAACTCACCTTGATCTATTGAAAGCTTTAACTATCAATCAAGAGATTTTAAATTTGAAGCTCACGGATGTGATGAGTATGCGTGCTTATCTTATTTGGCTTAAATGTAAAATAAAAAGTGGTGAATTAAGCAGCAGAGGTAGAAGATGGCAGGAGCAAAACGGAAAAGGAAAATTTTTTTTTTCTACAGTGCTGTTCAAATAGTGGGATATGTACTATCCACTAATAGCTAACTAGTTAGCTAATTAAGATTAACATGTAGTTAACAACACAATAGTGAAAGATCCTGGCTAATATAAACAAGGCAAATAGGAAAATGTAGTTGGCTTCAATTCCCTTTCGACTCAAAACTCGGCTCGATTTTGGAAAAAATTATTAAATGTGGAGTGCGCACAGTCCGCACAAATATTGGGTACCTTGCGGTACCCAATGATACCGAGTGATACCTAGCTAGATACTCAATGCTTGTGCGGACGGTTCTCCCCGTCAGCACTCCGCACCTAATAATCTCTCCGAGTTTAGTGGGCTACATGTGTTCCTTCGCAATAATTGAAGAGAACTATGTTCACCTTATCAGGAAAGAACTTACAAGAAGCAATGCTACAAGTAAAGGGACTACAAATGATGTAGTTAGAAAAGGAATGTAATGTAAAAAGAATATTTTCGTCGGATATATATATTGTATTTTTTGATAAATTGAAGATATATATCATAAATTTCATGTTAAATGATGATTTTTTTTATAGAATAATGGTTTTTTAAATTAAAATTCTAAATATAATTTTGAGTTGGCTCAAAATCAAAATGAGCTACCTCATAATTGAGTCGCCTCAAATTCAATTTTGATTTATCCACAATCCTTTCTCGATCGACTTTAATTTCGATCAATTTGATTTTGAGCCACCTCTAACTTGGACTAAAATAGTTTCATGGTCCTAGCTTCATGGATGTATTCCATCAATATAATGTTGTCCAAAGAAATGGCTAAATTGATGGGAGGATCATATTTGTTCATATTTGATAAGCTGAGAGATTAAATTGAATGACTAAAAAATCTAGAACTAATATACAAAAACAATAACAACAACAACATCAAGCCTTTGTCCCACTACGTGGGATAGGCTACATGAACCCTTTTTCTCCATTATGGATGTTAAAAGTCAAATTCTAGTTAAAATCTAATAAAGAAAGATAATGTCTAATATTTTATAATCAAGTCTTTTTAAGTCTACCTCTACCTTTCTTAACATAAGTCAAATCTAATACCTTTACTTTCCTAACCGGGTCATCGGAAGGTCGCCGTTTTATTTGACCAAACCATCTAAGACGACTCTCTCTAATCTTATCTTCCACTGGAGCTACTCCAACCCTTTCATGTATATGCTCATTACATATCCTATTTCTAAGGATAAAGCCACTCATCCACCTGAGCATCCTCATCTCTACAACACTTAACTTAGTATTATGCTTCTCTTTTAATGGCTAATATTTAGCAACATAAAGCATTGCAGGTCTCACCACCATCTTATAAAATTTTTTCTTAAGTTTGAGGGGGACTTTTCTATCACACAACAAGCCTGATGCATTCCTCCACTTCAACCATCTAATTTGAATTCAACTAATAATATTCCCATCTATTTCACCATCACTCTAAACAATAAACCCAAAATATCTAAAACATGTACTCTTATTAATAACTTGATCGCCTAAAGTCAGAATCCCCCCACTAGATCTATTACTACTAAAATTACACTCCATATATTCGATTTTAAATCTACTTAAATGAAAACTTTTAGACTCTAAGATTGACCTCCATAATTCAAGTTTACATTCAACTTTCTTTCTAGTCTTATCAACAAGAAGAATATTATCAGCAAAAAACATACACCAGGTAGAACCTCTAACAAATATCTAGTGAGAACATCCATAACTAAAGCAAAGATATATGGACTTAAGGTTAATCCTTGATGTAATCCAACTGAAATAGGAAAATACTTGATTAAACCACATTATGTTTGAACACAAGTAACAACTCCTATATACATATTCTTAATGCCTTGAATATAAGCATTATTAACTCCTATTTTTTTTAGAACTCTCCATATCACTTCTCATGAAACTTTATCATATGCTTTATCTAAATCAACAAATATCATATGTAGATCATTCTTATTCTCCATACCTCTCCATCAAACCTCTCAACAAATGTATAGCGTCCATAGTAGACCTACCTGACATGACCAAATTGATTTAGAAAAAAACATTGTATTACGTCACAACCTATGCTCTATAACTCTCTCCCATAAAACTTAATTTCTCTATAAATCACACAATTTTATGCATGACCTTTATTCTTAAAAATAGAAATCAACATACCCATTCTCCATTCATCTGAAATCCTTTTAATCTTCAAAATAAGCCAATAAATTCTTTCATCTCCTAAGCATTTCCACACTTCTACTGGAATATAATTAGCTCCAATAGCTTTTGCACACTTCATTTTCTTTAAAGCCTATCTAACTTTGGTTTTACTAATAAGTCGATAAAAACAAAAATCTTTATTTTCATTTAGTATGCTAATGTCACTAAAACCAATCATATTCTCACAATATGTATTGAAAAGTTTAGCAAGATATCTCATTCACATTTGTTGAAAATCCTCCTGTAATAAAAATCCTATTTAATCTTCATCCTTAATACACTTCTCTTGAACTAAATCCTTATTACTTATATCTCCTTATTTGGTTAATGATAGGAAACACTTGGATTTCCAAGTGTTTCACACCAATAACCAAGTAGATCTCGGATGAAAATTGCTGTCCACACAGGAAAACAGCCAAAAACAATGGATTCGGAGAGAAAACGAAGAAGAAAACGTAAGAAAAACAAAGCAAACACTTTTATTTAATAAGAGATGAAAAGCACTTGCAAGATACAACTTTCCTTCGATTCGAGAGGAAGGAAAAACTCTCCAAATCTCTAGCCGTAGCCTAGAGCCCAAGAACACAAACCCTAGATCTCAAAAATGATTCAAATCCAAGATGATTTTCAAATCCCTCCCAAAACACCTAATTAAAGACAAATGATTAATACAAAATGCCTAAACAACCCCTCATTCAAATATTTTCCCTCCTAACTTGAATTAACCTCAAGTGGGCCCACCCTCTTGAGATGAAAAGCACTTGCAAGATACAACTTTCCTTCGATTCGAGAGGAAGGAAAAACTCTCCAAATCTCTAGCCGTAGCCTAGAGCCCAAGAACACAAACCCTAGATCTCAAAAATGATTCAAATCCAAGATGATTTTCAAATCCCTCCCAAAACACCTAATTAAAGACAAATGATTAATACAAAATGCCTAAACAACCCCTCATTCAAATATTTTCCCTCCTAACTTGAATTAACCTCAAGTGGGCCCACCCTCTTATTCCCCCCCCCCTTTCTCTGTCTTCCGCCTCCTGTAGGCGATGACCGGTCCAGGGTGGACCGGTCCAGCCGGCCCAGGATGGGCCGGCGTAACA